TATATATATATATATATATATATATATATATATATATATATATATATATATATATATATATATATATATATATATATATATATATATATATATATATATATATATATATATATATATATATATATATATATATAATACAGTATGCCGCCTTTCGACGGCTTTTGTCTGCCAGGTCAAATGTAAACCGTTGTCAACGACAAATTACTTCAATTTTCCACCGGCATTTACAGATATAGAAATATCATGCCGCCGAATGACGGTATTTTTTTAACAATATTGTGTAGAGTATGGTTTGGTTGCTCGCGCTCAAAATATAAATCAGCTGCCATTTGCTTATATCTTTGTTAGACTCAATATAACATTCTAACATATTATATTTCTCAAAATTTCCAAATTTTTATGTGTTTTACAGGGTTCCTCGTTTATGAGTAGAGATACAAAGATGCAATTTTCACATCACTGTGCCACTTCTTTTTATGAAACTGAAGATGTTACACACAGATTTGTCCTAGCCTTTTTAGTTCCTGAAATACAGGGCGAATTTGAAAATTTTGCATTTTTCGACTCCCGTCGTTACTCGGTATAACCCTTAATCAAGGGTATAACTTATCGAAAAGGTAAAAACTGAGTTTTTCACATTAATTCAGTGGCGTATCTAGTTTTTTGCTGAGAGCTGTCATTCTCGAAATATGACTCGAACTTATGTTTTTTTAAGTGCGATATCCTGTATTTTATTTTATTTTTTTTATTTGTCTTATTACCTTTCTAAAAATATACTATAATCTATAATTTTTTTTCAAAAATATGTCAAAAAATACATTATAGAAAATATAAAAGAATAATATACAAGGTGTCCCATTTAAAAAAAAAGCTTCCAGCGAACGTCACTGTGTACAGGGTGGATCATTTTGGTTGTTTCTATAGGGTATCTAGGAAACCGTGAGAAATATTCAAATTTTGATACTGCAGTCTTGGGTTCTTTTTTTGAAAGAATCACAATGGCGCAAACAGATCGTGGCTATCTTGATCGGTTTTGAATCTACAGGGGGATTCTCAAATTTTGTACTTTTTGAAGATGTTCGATAGTTTGTTTATTTCAACAACTACGCAAAAATGAATTAAACATTCTAAAAGCATTTTTCTTTGTAGAATGCAGTGGCGTAGTCAGACTTGTTTGGAAAAAAGTATTTTTTTAGATATTAACTATACTTATGTTTTTTTAAACACAACCCCCTGTATATTTTAAATTTCCTGATTCAGTTTGGCATGGGCTTCTCGAAAATATATAACACTATATAATTATTTTGACTATTAACTTTAAAATTCCAATTTATTTAAAGATATCGACTTTCCTCTTGGTAGGTCATGCCGAGTAATAAAGGAAACAAGCGAATATCTACTTTCAAATTAATTCATGTATTAGCAATTAAAAAAATTCGAACAAAACGAAGCATATATAAAATAAGTGTGACAGAAACAAAAGAACATATTTCAATACAAATTCAACAGATTACTTCAATCGGGCTTCTCAGTTAATATAAAAAATAAAAACACAAAGACTACATTAAATGTTCAAACTACTGCCCATTATTATCTAGACGGACTTGGCACCGTCTCTGCACGCCGCCGCTAACAGCATATCGAATGTGTATGTTGGTTACACTTTGCAAAGCCACAACAAAACTATCTTGTAACTCTTCTAATGTTCTATTTGCATTTTGATAAATTTCGTTTTTCGGAAAGCCCCAGAGAAAGAAGTCCAAGGAAGTGATATCAGATGACCTAGGTAGCTAGAATTAAACTATTTTCTGACCTTTTAAAAATGGCTGGGTTTGGTTGCTCGCGCTCAAAATATAAATCAGCTGCCATTTGCTTATATCTTTGTTAGACTCAATATAACATTCTAACATATTATATTTCTCAAAATTTCCAAATTTACTTATTTTTTTATTATTTAAAATACACACACTTCAATCTGTTGAAATGTCACGCATCCATCAAAGGATGCCTCGATCACCATGACAACCGTTTACTTTGTTACTCGGCGCGGCCTACTATTAACTAGATATTTTAAGAAAATATTGAAATGTTGAGGTTAATAGTGAAAATAAATATAGAGGGATCTATATTTTCGAGAAGCCCATGCCAAGCTGAATTAGGAAATTTAAAAATATACAGGGGGTTCTATTTAAAAAAACAGAAGTATAGTTTATATCTAAAAAAATATTTTTTTCGAAAAAAGTCTGACTACGCCACTGCATTCTACACCGAAAAGTGCCTTTAGAATGTATAATTCATTTTTGCGTAGTTGCTGAAATAAACAAACTATCGAACTATATATCTTCAAAAATTTTTTTAAATATAAATATAAAAATTTCGATAATATATCTTCAAAAAGTACAAAATTTGAGAATCCCCCTGTAGCTTCAAAACCGATCAAGATAGCGACGATCCGTTTGCGGCATTGTGATTTTTTCAAAAAAAGAACCCGAGACTGCAGTATCAAAATTTGAATATTTCTTACAGTTTCCTAGATATCCTCTAGAAACAACCAAAATGGTCCACCCTGTATATGAAAATTAATTAATTAAGTTTTCACCTTTTCGATAAGTTATAAGGTAACCGGGAGTCGAAAAATGCACCATTTTGAAATTCGCCTTGTGTTTCAGAAATCAAGTGGGCTACGACAAAAAAATGTTTGTGTATATAGTATATTTAGTTTCATAAAAAGCGGTACAGGAATATGAAAACCGCATCTTTGTATCTCTACTCATAAGCGAGAAATCCCATAAAACGAAAATGGGACACCCTGTACAGGTATTGATTCTTATTGTTAGCAATCCTTTGGGCGGCTGTTCTGTTTTCTTGTCGTTCATTATCGAATCAGGCCGTGTAGTACTGCGGCCGATATCCTGAACCAATCCATCCTCTACGGTCACAATCCGTCACAAACGAAACGAAATCGACCACCACGTCGACGTACCGACACGTAAATCAATTAGAAGAACGCGTAACGGCCATACACAATCGCATACACACACACACATCTATCTAGACGAGATAGAGGACATATTGACCTCGTTGTTGGCCGTCGAAGAAACCGCTATTCGGAACTCACTCCAGACCGCGAAGAGCTATCGCACTATCTGGCCTGCTTAATTAGCGCAGACCTTGTTTTCTTTTGTCCTTTGGTTTTGCTTTTGTTTCGGTAGTAAATAATGCAACAATACTCGTTTAATTTTCGTTCTAAATCTTTTGAACAGTCGAAATAATTTCTCGGTGCCTAAACATTTTTGAGTATAGAAATAATTAAATAGAGACTAGAGGTGGGAATTCTAGTTCCTTGGGAGGAACTAGTTCGTTGGTTCTAGTTCCCCACCGGAGGAATAGTTTCTGAAACTAGATCTTTAGTTCACAATAACTCCCGACTAACATTGACAACCCCGTTGCTTGCTAATGGGTTTCGTTGTCAGTCAGAACTATTCACAGTATGATCTGTATAATTTTTATAATGTACGGGATATAACGAGACGTGTAATTGAGTATGTTAAAAACACATAGGTAAGTTTAATTGCAGATAAAAAAATTAAAAAAGAAACTCAAATCAGAGTTTAAAAAACTATATCACAAATCAACAAATCAATTGAAGCAAATAATACAAAAATTTTCCGAAAAATTGCATTTTTCCTCACTTTAAGCTTTTTGTTTTTGTCTAAAAATTCAGAATAATATTTACTTCGTTTTATAAGATATTTCTTAATCTTACAGATCTAAAGTCAAACATTCCAGTTCAGTATCAACGACAATTTTCTGTGGTAATTATACCGGCTGTTGCAATAGACAAGGCAGAATTCATCGTCGTCGCCTTGTATTATATCTCGGATCTGTCGACTGAATAGATTCCCGAGAACTAGACTTTTAATTAGTTTTTCTAGTTCCCCTCATTTTTTTCGGTCCGGGACAGGTAACATCCTGGGTAACATACGGCTGGCACTCTCCACTCCCGCCTACCATCGGGCTACGATCGCGCTGGCCGATCCGTACGTAAACTAGTCTTTTATTTAGTGCCTCTAGGTCCGGATCCAATATTTTTAATAGTAATAATTATGTTTCATTAATAGTTTTTTTTGTGTTTTGGGATCGGTTTCATCGCTTCCTGATTCCTTACCGTACTGATGAAGCCTGAAGGCAGTTACATCAGTGTACACTAGTGTAGGTGTGGTTGTGCGAGTGTGTGAGTGTGCGTGTCTGCACTGGTGTACACTGGTGTATACGGTTACGAGTTGTTGAGGGCTGAGCCGTTTAATCTTTTTCTTCTTTTTTATACATTTCCCTCACTATTTCTTTCTTGTTCATAGATATATTTCAGATTCCCCTATCTCTTTACAACGGTAGAAAAAATATTTTGAATACTATCCCGGAACTGATATTTTTTATGCTTGTTAATCAATTTTCTATGAAAAACGAACAATATATTTTAATTTTAATTTATCGCAAAAATATTTTAAATATTATTTATTATATTTTTTCAAAAATTCAAAGTGACTAGGAGTTAGGACTTATCTTAGTATATCTTTTGCTAGAAGTATATCTTTATATATAATATCTAATACTCCCATCGAATGAACGGCTTTTATACATAATAATAAATTTCTATTTATTTTTTTTAATAATAATTTATTGGTCATCACGATAGGTTAAGCAAGTACATAAAACACAGACCATATCGGGGACCCACCAATTTTTATAATTGCAATTCAGTTCGCGTTGTTGCAGAATCGAGGGTATTAGATCATATATTTGTTGTAGCGACGGTAAAAACAATTGTACGACATTAACGGTCGGTTCTGAATAGTAATTATTAAATAGTATTACAGCCGTACTAATGGTACCAATCAAGCTATTTATACATTTATAGTAATGTAGGACTTGTACGAATAATGTGAGAGTGTAGTGGTATTTAGTAAATAATTTTAAATTCTGTTTTTCTTTCTTTTCAGAATCAGTAACAGACCAAAACCAGAGACATATAAGGGTACATCATATAAAAAGTAAGTTTTAATTAATTTGTTACAATTAGTTTTTATAATATTGTTAACTGAAATTGAAAATATAAATTTAAATAACAGTCGCTTGCAAGAATGTATTAGGTATATGCATTATACAGGATGAGTTTTAAATTAAATTAGTGCAAATATTTTTAGGGGTAGTATATTTCGACCCCAGAAACAGGATTATCACGATTGAGGTTTTTTTAGCGAAAAATAAATTTTTGAAAATTTGGAATTTTTTGAAAAATTATTTGTAACTTTTTTTTAGTTTTTAGTTAAAATCCATAATTTTTTGATAATATGGCAACATAAGTAGTAGATTAAATTTGCAAGAAAGAAAACCTTGAAAAGATCCAGTGGTTTTCAAAATTTAAGCAAAATATATATTTTTTTGGAAAATTTCAAAGTAAAATATATAACTCGGGTATTTTGGACTTATCTGAAAAACGGTAAGAAAATAGGCTTCTTGTATCGATATCTACCACCCCTAAAAATAATTGCACTTATTTAAGACTCACCCTGTATACATGGCTAAAAAATCACATACATGATATTTATTATTTTTTAAAAAGACCTTACTTTAAAAATTGTTACGGGCAAACTGTTACTGTTGGCAATAACGTGTTTGCATGAATACCAAAGTTCAAGAACAACGATTTACCAATATTCTCAAAATTAAAGAAAATATATTATTTTATACTTACCCTTTCGTCAACTGTAACTTCCACGGAAAGCATCTTTATAGGAACGTATTTGTTTTATTTATATCTCTAGAATCATCACTAGGTTAACCACACTATTTTTGACACCCTGTATAGATGCCATTTTTGTAATATTCACAAATTTATGTAATTAAGTTTACTTACTATTTTAAGTACTTAATGCAGATCATTTTTAATCTGTAACATTACAATGAGAAATATTATATTACAATTCCAGTATTTAAAATATATTAATTATTATCTTATATTTCAAAAATAACGACAACTTAAAAGGAAGTTTTTTCCAAGCATTTGAAGGGTCCAGGGCAATAACTTGATAAGCGCGAATTTTTAATTTTAGGATTTTACAATATCATAATTGGTCTAGTTGGACCCTACAAAATGATTAAACTCTGCAGGGCAATAAGTTTTGAAATACTATGACATATGCTTAGTAAAAATATAGAATGCATGGAAAGAACCTGATAAGCACCAGCCGTCCAGTGCTCTCTTATAAGATTAGTAAAATGGCGCTTTTCTTGTTTTTCCCCTGGACCCTTCATTTATTTAACTTGTCATGTCAGTTTGTTCATATGGGTTAAGTCTTGCGACCAGTGTTACCAATTCAATAGGAATCCTACTAAATCTAGTAGATTTTGCAGAAGCCTCGGTAGGAAATTCTATTATTAGTAGATTAGTAAGATTATTGGCAGGTTTTTTCTTGCATTGATTCTTAGAAATAAAGCGCCATTTATAGATTCAAATTTAAGTAAATAGATAGGTACATTGTGAATTCCCAATGAATTTCATATCAGAAGATGAACCCCCTCTTTAAGAATTTACACATTGCATTTCACATCATTTGACACCATTGATGGTCAAACTCGGACTAAACCATAGCAAAGAAGAAAACAATGTTTTCCAGATTTTTTATTTAATAAAATTATTAGTTGTTAGAGTTATTTGAAATATTAGAAAAAAAATGTATTAGTATGATTCTAATAAAAATTTTGCTCTGATCTAGTAGGATAATTAACGAAGAGCTGACAACACTGCTTGTAAGCTGAATTAGAATAATTTTCTGACGTTCGATTGCGCTTAAATTTGGTATACTTTCGTATCTTAAGCCACAATACAATATTATGGTACCATAAAGCTAGTCTGAAGATGGTATCGGAAATACTAAACAAGATAAACCTACAGTGTTTGGGAGTCTTCGATTCGCCGCTGGGCAAGCCTATGTTGCCCTTAGGCGAATAAAATCTTTCTATCTATCTATCTATCTATCTATTCAGCCTTCTTCGGTCCATCGTTGGACATAGGCCTCCCCCAATCTCTTCCACTCTTCTCTCTCTGTAGCCGTGCTCGTCCATCTTGTGCCTGCATGTTTCCTCAGATCGTCCGTCCATCTCATCTGAGATCTTCCTCTACTTCTTCTATTCTCCCAGGACCTCCAGTTTACGATGCATTTGTTCCATCGATCATCCTTCTGTCTGACATTGTGACCGGCAAACTTTCATTTCAATTTTGCTACTACCATCGCTAACTTTTGCTTTACCTCTGATCCACTCATTCCTTTTTCTATCTGCCAGCCTTACATGTAGCATTTGTCTTTTCATAGATCTTTGAGCTTTTGTTACCTTATCCATATTTGATTTTGTTAGTGTCCAGGTCTGGGATCCGTAAGTAAGTACAATAAAATCTTTAGAAGAACTAATTATCGAAGAATTCTTCTTCTTTCGTACTTTGCTTTATACAGAGCGTTGCTAATCTATCGCATGCACTTGTGAGGTGGCAATGTGTGTCATTAGTGTTCACAATTTATCTTCAGTTTATCGAATACGAATCCGAATGGCACTATTTGAGAGGGACTATTCAGTGTAGTCATTGCGTTCCTTGAAATGGCAGGTCGCTTTAATTAAATAGATAAATAATTTTATTTAAACAGATAAAGCGACCGTATTGCTGTCGACCTACCTACTAGCAGTCGACCTACTACTGCTGAAGCCACGAGCCACGGCCGTCCACAACATCGAAGAATTAATAATTTTGAATTAACAAGAAAAATGTCGCAATAAAAATTGAGTTGAAATTGTATTAAAAATTATTAATTTTTTTTAAAAACAAGCTTTTATTTAATTGCTCTAAAAAGAAGAAAATAAACTTTAAATTAAATTAGATTCATCAATTTCATACATTACAAAAATTATTGCATTACAAATTATTACATATTTCACAGTCTCCTGCAAATTTTCAGATGTGGGAGGCAAACTATTAGAACTATACCCATATAATATGCACCAGCTTAGTAATCGGATCTTAAACCTATATACCAATTCCTATATAAGGCATTTACTGTTTTATGTAAATTACGAAAAAACACCAGTTCATAAAAAATACTACATGCTTGACCGGTCGTTCAAATGGACTGTTCTGTGTGGCAAATTGCATGTACTCGCTTTTTTACATTTCCAATACACTGAGATAATATTTCTATAAATAAGCCGTTTGGTAATGATTATATAACGGTCTCCACATTATTATGAGTACAATACGGTCGGTACTATTCAAAATTATAAGTTTTTCAGTACGGTTTCACATAATCGTGCTTGGGGAGTATATTATTAATGTTGTACCTATAGTAAATGGTTTAGGATTATTTCGTCACAGAACAACTTATTATTTCGCCGTTGAAAATACGTAAAGGCGTAACTCGTTTTTAACGATTTTTCAGGAGAGCGATTTTAAGAAAAATGACTCTACTATTTCAAACATAGACTTAGAATAAAATATAGACTACACTATTTACATTTAAGCGCGGTCCAATATTAATTTTTGTAAACATGTTTACTCCTGGGTGCAGCTGACCTCGGCCGTCTGAGTCTTTCGCCTCCAGCCTATGTTGTCACGTCTAAAATATTATTAATATTTTTTTTGTTGTTATACACATATATTGAGATATTAAAACTGTATTTTAATAAAGTAGTGTTTAATAGTAGAAAGATGTATTAAATAGTCCCTATACTACTAAATTATAAGTCGGAGACTATTTAAAAATGACAAATTCTTTACAATTTGGCAACACCCATCAATCGCCGGGTCGCCTGTTCATTCTTTATTCTCTCGTAGTAGAGCCATAGTAGAGTAAAGCACGTGTCGTAAAACCTTGTTGTCACAGTTTCTCCATGGCTATTTTATTGTTTTTATTGGATGTTTTGATTTTTGTATTTTTTTGGATTCGATTTTCTTAGTGTGTAGTGTCGGTTTAGTGTTTATTTTGATTACTTTTTATTTAAAACTATAAAACATGTTCGTCAGTGCCAAATTTGTAAGAAATTGGACTATTTAAGTCCTGGAACAACATTCCACAGGTAAGTCAAATTTACTATTTTGGCGTCAGTGGCGTTGTAGAAAGGCGCTTATTTAGATAATAATTTAGTAAATTATAAACCCTGGAAAATCTGTATTTTTTATATTTATCATTTACGTAAAGGTTCTTACTAACCTCGTTATTAATATAACGAGTAGATACATTATTAAGTACATAAGAAGTAGACACATTATTTTCTTGGGCATTGGTTAATTTAATGCTTTTTTTTATGAAAAATGTGTTTCTTTTTATTCTAAAACCATCCTTAGAATCTAAAATAACATACAGGAATTCCAGAATGATATTCCATTATGAAACAACAATTTTTAAGGCTTATTATAAACTATAAACAATCGAGAAAGTCGAAAAAATTACAAGCTACCAAACATTTTAAAATACCAAACATTCCTTATTTTTTTTCAAGACTAAAATATTTTACAAACATTACTTTTTCCCTATAGTTTCACATCAGGTATAGAAATAACTACGTTTTTATGATAGGGTCACCATTATGATAACAAAAATGACGAACAATGGTCCAGAAATGTAAACAAGTACATATTTTTTGTAAATATTTTTCTTACCGCTTGCATTTTTGTCCATTATTATTTCACAAATTATACAGGGTTATGTAAACCAGGTAGATATTTCGTTTTTTTTATATTAAACAAAGATAAAATAAATATGCCATTTTAAAATTTATCCAGTACTTACCTAGAGTTTTTTCTTTTTTTTTCTCGACTGTTAATCTATTATTAATTTGTAATACCGTATGATCGAAAAAAACGGCGTCCAGTTGGCTTGGAAAAAACCATCGATACATACTCCATATAATTTTACATATAAAATGACAGCGATCTTCATTTCATAGCCATCGCTGACGCCGTTTTTTTTCGATTATAAGGTATAATTTTCATTTTTTCTTTTAT